CCTCAAGCAGGTTTTTATGTAAAATTCAGTTTTTATATACAATCTTCTTTCATAATCTTTTTCTTTGTGTGGTTGTTTATTGGTCATTTTAATTTGAACTTCATCAGACGCCAATATGAACAGTCTGTAAAACCAGAAGTGATCTGCACATACAGAATGCAGTTTACAGAAGTAAACAGATAATGTGAATGCCAGCTGGAATCTATCAGTTTTGAAATTGATACATTTATGACTGATTATGGGTTTAGAAGATGACCTAGCAACAATTTTAATAACAACTGAATTGAAGTGACTGAAGAATATTCTAAGCGTTGGAGCTTGTCAGTCAAGCTCCAAGGCTATTCATTCCCATTTTGCCGCAAACAAACCAACAGAAGCACTGAGTCGTGTTCAGACACACAGGACTATCTGATAAATCCAGCTCTTCTAATTTCAGCATGTTGATGCAGCGCTGCTACACATGACTCCAGAAAAAAACAGGACCAAAACTGCGACAAGATGCACAGTGACATAAAGGCTACTTGCATTGGCACAGAATTTTATTGAAGCTGAAGGTTTTTATCTGCCAAGGAATTTTTACTTCTCTTTACAAATTTGGCAGTTCAGTTTTGTGGTTCATGGTTGGTTGTGGAAAAACTTTAAGCACATATTTAATATTTTCAGAAATAGTTGTGATTTGTGGTTTGACTAGCTTACAGTCTTGATAACATCTCCTTCACACAAGCAGTTATATTTTCTTGATTTATGCCTTTGTAGGTTTGTCTTTTAGCAGCTAAAAATGCATCACTTATTCAACCGATAATGATTAATTTTTTTTAATGAACTTCAAGGCTTTGGGAAATATTTTCATATTTGTCAAAATGTCAAACTTACGTTACAACCATAATGATTTATTGGTATCTTTTCATTAGACACACAGGATATAAATGTGAGGTGTTGAGATATCGACACCATCTGAATTGTAAATTTAGGCCTCTGTGGGGGATCTTCAAAGTCTCTGATGGTAATCTCCCCAGATGTTCCTGCTGTTCAGGAAATCTCTAATTAGAAACATTTTCACCAGAAGGCAGAAAGATATTACAAAAATGTCTCACGACTCACTTTAGTTCTAAATTTCTGCACTAAGAGAGTCGCCCTCTCCAACAGAGATGCTTCATTGTGTCGCCATCTTACACTGTATTCTACTTTGCTCAAGGACACTTCAGCCCAACAGATGTTTGCTGTCCAGAGGCTCGAGCTGCAACCTTCCAGTTGGAGGACACTCTCTGTTATCACTTTTGCAGTATGCTGCTGTGTGACATGGCCTGGTCACCCCTGTGTGCTGCAAACTACCTGTGGGCTCATGCAGATTACTCTCTGGCTCAGGCTTTTATTCTGCTTTTTTCCAGTGAAGATAAACCTTTAAGAGAGGGCAGGCTCTGCTGAATTCAAGGTCAGAACCCTGCCAAAATAAAATAACCAAAATAAGAAAGAAAAAAAAAAAACACGATCTTATCTGCTTTTCTCAAAATTTTCAGGAAATTTTAGCTTTTAAAATATTGCATTTATTGTGTAATTGAATCCACTAAAAACATATTAATTGGCTTTTGACAGCAATAATCAGCAGAAAGAATCACACTGTTTTAAATTTGTTGAGCAACATGCATACAATACACAAACAATGTGACTGGTAAGGAGTCAAGACAGATGGAAAACAGGATAAAAATCATGAATAATAAGGAAATTGCGATGTAGCTTATTACCATATTTGTATCTGAAACTCAAAATTAGAGGAGATTCAGGATCCTATTATTCTAAAGAACCTGATGTTCTGCCTTGCAGACAGATACAACATTCTTGTTTTCAGGCACTGTAGAAAAATGTCTCTACAAGCTATTTTCTTCCAGTATTTTATTCAAAGAACACAAAGTACTAGAGCAAAAAAAAAAAACAAAAAAACATCTCCATTATTTTTTTTTTATCATTATTATCAATCTGAAGCAGCTCATTACTACTTGGAATGTCCATCTGTTTATGTGCCTGAATGTAATTCATAATTTTGTTGAAATCAACAGCAACCTCTTGTTCCAGGAATGGACCAGTATGCTAATAAAGACATATGGATTTACTTTTTAAAGAGCTGAACTCAAGGTACCCAACAGACACACCATTCTGGTATAATTTTGAGGAAATTTATTGTATTCATTTTTTTGGCAAAATTCTTACTTAATATTCTTCTTATCAAAAGCTTCTTATTCACAGCCACTCATGCAATTGTTGAAATATCTTTTCGATATCTCAACACTTTTCAGCAGAGCTGAAGTATGGTGGATGACAGATGGCTTCAGCTCTTTACAGAAACTCTTGTCCTTATGTCAGTTCATAAAATAAGTTTCTCGTTGATGTCTGAAACCAAAGCAGTTTTGCCACAATGACTTGGCTTTCTGTGCTGCACAAGAAGTGTGTTAAACTCTTTATCTGAAAACAAGGGTCTGAACCCAAACGCTAGCCTGTGTTTTGAGGAAATGGACGACATCTGCAGCTGCTGTGCACAAGTAAACTCGAGGAACACTAAACAATAAACAGAATTTAAAACACAGCATTGTTACTTAGTGTGACGTGGGTGTTCATGGTGGGAATTTGTTGCTTCTCTGGTATTATTAACTCCTACGAGTTTGCACACAGTTTAATAAAACAGTTACTCAACTAAACAATACGTGCTGCAAATACTGAGAATGACAAACGAAACATGACAGAACTCACCACTGGCTTAACTGGGTACAAATTTAATCAAACAGCTAACTTGAACTGTCCGAATTTGATCATCTAGTGACATGAAGTGGCAATTTTCACCAGTGATGTAAAAGTGAAATCAGAGACAGCAGTTAAAGAAGTTGTTAAAATGAAAGCTGTAATTTCTATGAATAGTATAGTGAGAAATGTCTGCAGATCTTTTCTGGTGTCAGATTCTCCACTGATGTCATGAGGGATGAACAGAGAAAAGCTGCTTAGATTTATCTGTTTTCATACAGTGTTATGCACTGTGCTAGTTTTGGAAATCATGGCAGGTGTTTAACAATCTGAGTCTACTTCATCTATAACTACATCCAGACAGCTGAACTATAATAATTGCAAAGATGCTAAAGAGTTAGAAATTAGTGACTTATAATTTTGGTTTAAAATATAATTTCAGAATTGTTTTTTTGGGGATGTTCTCTAACACATACACTGTAGTGTTGCTGAAGCTGCTAAAGTGAATGATTGTGGCAGAAGTCTGGAGAAAATGTATGGAAGACTGATTTTATGTATTCTTATTTTAAAGGAGAAACTGGAGCTTCAGTTGGTATGAACCGGTCAGGGTTGTGCAAAAACCGATTCTCAGAAATTGACCAAAACGTCAGAACCACTGCATCTCCAGTTTAAATTGTTAAAGAACATTTTTTAAAGATTGCTTCAAGAAGTCACAAGAAAATCCATTTTCATAACTGCAGATGGGGTTTTGTTTGACTTCATTTCACAAATCAAGTTAGGGAGACAGAAAAGAGGAGGAAGAGACCTAAATAAATCGTCTTGGCCTGCATGTAAAACATTTTTGTTGACATCAAACTTTGACCTGCTGTTGTTGTATTAACTTTCCAGACCAGTCAGGTTTTCTTGCTCTAATCTGCTCTGCATCCTCAGAACCAGAACCAAACATGGAGAAGCAACATTCAGATTATATATTCCTCAAAACCAAAACAAACTTCCAGAAAACTGCAACCCACCTGTTAAGAGTTTCTGTTGAATCATAATAAACTGAACATTGAACAACATAATTGGATTTGACAAAATGTGATGTTTAGTGCTTGTTTCATAACTGATGACTGTATGATGCTTTTATGACGTAAAATGCTTTGATCTGTCTTCTTTCTGAAACATTCTATGCAAATAAAATTGACTTTGTGCTGGTCTGTTTCATAAAATCACAATAAATTACACACTGGATTGTGGTTAGAACATAAAATAGATGTAAAAGTTCAATGTTGATTAATGCAGCTGAATGTTGTCATTAAAAATAATCAAAACATCAGAATGATGGAGATTTCTCAGATGAGGTGTTTTTTCCTCCTTCTTTTTTGACATTCATATGCTAACCGTTGATGTTTAATTTAATTAAGTTCACCATGAGAACATTTTGTGAATTACAAAGGTAGAACCATGAATGACTAAAACTTCAATGATCACAGATCTGGCTCCTGCTGCGGATTTGGCCAGCTGCACCCTGAAAGCTGGTGGCAAACTGGAAACTAAGGGGCCAACAACATATGGCGCACAGGCTTATAGGATTACTCATTTAACAAGGTGACTTGGAGAGCTACTAATCTTCAACATGTTCTAAAGGAGTATGGAGTCTGTGTGGGGCGCAGGGGAGCTGCCTTTTTTGAGGATCCCATACCCAATTAAACACAAACCTCCTTTAAGTCGTCCTTTCTGAAATGCAGAGGTTGGCGCAGTGAGGCTTTCTGGGTACAGCTCTTTACACTCGTAAAAATGCCAAGCAGACCGACCGCAGAGCATCAGATTCTGACAACATGTAGGTGCACTAATTGTAATCATCTTGACACAAAGTGCGCCGCAGGCATAAACACCACCTCCAAAGTGCGCTGCTGTGCGCACAGAACGAGACGCGCGCCGCCTAGATGGACGCCACGCGCGCACACACCAGCTGCAGATCAGAAAGTGCACTTATGTTCACGCAGATCAGTAATAAAAACAGCACTGAGGATAAAAACCCGTTTTATTAAACATTTGGGGATTTGGCGCTGGAAAATGACGCAAATCGTTGAGCTTTCCAGAAATGTAAGGGGCTCGATTATCTCCCATGTTCTGTCGTTAAATCAACTATCTCAATAAAAGAAGTAACCGCAAGTTCACATAGCGCTTTAGGTTACTTTAAATGTTAAAGTTCTGCCAGTTGAAGCTGATTTTCCGGCAGCCCACGGGGTTAAAATGCTCACTGAGACCGGACGACGGTGGCTTACCGTGGGGGAAAGCGTTGGGTTGCACCGCATGCAGGAAAGCGTGCACCAAGTGGAAGAGGATCCCTATGGGTCCGGGTTCGTAATGAGCCAATGTCTCGTAAACTCCCGCAGGCACATAACCAAAATCCAACTTTCCCGGAGGTGGTAGTCTCCGCGGCTCTGTCTCCTGCTGGAGTTCACCGGACGCCCACAGCACCGACAGCAGCAGTAGTGTCCCAGACTTCCACATCGTGTCCAAGCCAAACCCCGATCTTTCCTCAAACTGGTTCAAGATACTAAACTGGACGGTGGCGTTTCTTAAAGCCAGAGGAATTGATTCGAGATCAATCTTAAAGCGCTCCAGTGGATGGACTGCAGCTCTTCAAGTACTGCTGCCCACGGAGCGACTCGTTCTGAGCATCCTACCCCGCTGTGCGGGGATCCCTGTCGGATGCACACCGGCTGATCTTTCCTCTACCGTGTCCGGTAGTGGATGCGCTCAGCCCCTAAGAGATGTGCGCGCCTGTCGCTTCGACTTCAGCATCTGCGCGTAAAAGAGAAGCTCTGCGTCACGGGAACGGGCGGGGTCGTGCGCAGCCATCCAGACAGTGCAGAGGATAATCCAGAGAGAAGCGCTCCTCCTGTCGGGAAAAGGAGGCTGGAAGAAGGGAGTGCTAGTACCAACGAGATGTAATTAAATCTACCTTTAAGTCACTTTCCATCAAATTTATTTCCCAAAGCTTAGAACTATGGATTACGGTCAGAGCCGGCCCCAGGGATAAGCAAACTGAGAAACTGCCTGAGCCCACCTACGACAGGGGGCCTCAGACAGCACTATGGTTGACATTAGCACTGTATTGAATCTCAGTGTTGATCATAATGTCCCGCCTTTCCGCGGTTCAGAATTCAGTGACTCACCTATTCATGGATTTTTCTATAAAACATAACTCCAAATTTTTGTGGTAAATCTGTTTTTTCATAGCTATTTTTCAATAGAGTATTTTTAAAATATTCAAAAGAAAATCTATTTTAGAAAGTTGTAATATTTAGGCACAATGCTAAGCTATTGGCTGGTGTTTGTAAAGCAGCATTGTGTTGATTGGCTAAAGAAGAAGCAAGGCTGTAGATTTAAGCTTCTGAGGTAAATGGTAAGTAGCACTACCTCATTTATTCTCAGGTAGTGCTAAGATGGTTTCCACTGTAAATTTCATACAAACAAGAAGTTATAAGTGTTTTTAAATTGGGTCTTGAGTATTTGCAGGTTTTGGCCATTTGTGGATTATGAGGGAAACAGAGACGACAGCAGGATCTTAAAAAATGAGTTACATTGTATAATCATTTATGATCAAAATGATTTTCAGTCGCTCAAATTTTTTAAGACAGAATACTCAACGTAATTGTACCAGTCAATTACAAATTACCAATCATTGAAGAGGAACATGTGCACTATTTTATTAGAATAATCTTTAATATTAACATTATTATTATTCGATTACAGTTTAATACATTTCCTCTTATGATGTTTATGTGTTATGGACACTTCCAGATTGACATTTTTATTTCCTAATACTGGGTTTTGACTTCATTCATCTGGAATGCATTGTGTTCACATGTCATTTATACCAGGTCCTCAATTTTTCTTTTCCATCCATCTAACAGATGCTACTGTCGCCATGGTGATACCTGGCTTACTGGTATGATTGCTGATGCTATGTTTAGGTGAACATTTTTCAGTACAATAAGATCTTTGTTCTGACTGTGGAGAAAATCAAGCCTCAACCCTGGCTTAGAAAAGTTTCATAGTCGACTGCGATCATATTTCTTTACAGATAAAAGGTCATTAAACCTGCAGAATGGTTTCACTGTACTGGTAAATGATGTTTTAGACCCTGGGTTGGAACAGATGACTTTTGGATTCAAGTTAGTGTTTCTGTCTGGTTTGACTAAAAATGCCTTGAATGAACAATATTTTAACATCTTTCCTGATTATTTTCTTCCGACTTCCGTTTTAAAGTTCTTTTTCCACCCATTAAGACCACTGCTGCTGCACTGGAATGTATCTAAATAACCTACAACTACACCTGCCGCCCTACAGGAAGCTGTAACAGGGCTGCAGCTTGCCTCAGCTCTCGGCAGTGTAAGGAGCTTAACCATCTAAGAATGTCTGGTGCAGATTTACTCTGCCTGACCTCCGCTTCCCAACAGACAGTATGCGGGTAAAGATGAGGTCATCATCCTAATGGGAAGTCAAAAATATAAACCAATGTTCCAACTTTGTGAGCCTCAGTCCTTTTGTTTTTTAAATCTGGTTTTCCAAACGATGATTCTGTCAACATCTCCAGAAGTATAAGAATCAGAGTCAGATTTTAAACTATCATTTAGCTTTTAGAGTGATTTGATATGCAGCTGTATTGCTGAAACACCTTGACTATGCTTTCCCCTCCCCTACTATTTCTCAATGTATGTTTGTGTTTTTAAAGTGTTTCATTGAACTTTTGACATATCTTCCTTCCCCCCAACCCAGTTCTTGTTTCCTTTAGCTAAAGCCATAGTTTGCACTCCAAATATGCATTCATCAAGTCATCTTTTATACCTGTTTGTCCTTTACAAAAGTACCATGCTTTTTAGTCAGATTTTATTCTGATAATCCCCTACTTAAGTTGGCAATGTTTACTTACTAGACAGAGTAAAAACTGCATGATCCTGGTCACTGAGTGAAATGTGCTATACCCATTATAGTTCATGTGCAATCAGGTGTTTCTCATGATTATTAAAGCTGTTTCAACACCACATCACAGAAGGCTTCTGTTGTATGTATGCAATCTCACCAGAGGAAAAAGACAATTCTGTATTACATGTATGTTGCAAAAATAAGTGTTTTTTCATGCTGCAATACTGCAATCATATTTAAGTAGGCCATTCCAAAGGCTCCCTTTAAGCCTTTGGAGACATACACCAGTGGACTTTTTTTTTCCATATCAGTTTTCTAATCTGGCTGATTATTGATTGATGTAATTCTCCAATGATTACCGAATTAGATTCAGAGCTACAGCTACAAAAAAAGCTGCTGCTCACAGTTACTCCTTTCCTTAATGGGATTAAAGAAAACATTTGCGATCACCATTTAAAAAAAACAAAACAAACAAAAAAAAAAAAAAACATTTTATTATTTCAAAAAGGCAATTTCATTCATTATCAAGATATGAATTAAATATAAATCTAAACTAATAAAAAAGAGCAGGCAGTGTACTGGACATAAAAACACTCCACTTCATCAGTTCTGTTGACCTCAGCATTGGCCGCCTGCAGTTCGGCTGCCCTTCACTGTAAACAAACAGAGTTTGGACGACTCTGGTCGGGTCTGAGAGAACCACACGATGGTTTGAGGAATCACATTTCACATGGAATTTACAGTTCCCCAAGTAGGACCATATTACTTATTATGATGGACAATGAGAAGCAACACTTTGCCCTTTAACATTAATGGCAACTTTTTTTTGGCTTAAACAATCTTTGAAATTTGTCTGTACGTCCTTGTTCCAAGTACATTTTGGTTTCCAAGACTGAATGACAAAGACAATTAATTTCTAAAAATCTGATTCAGTTTTACAAGTCAACAGTTCTTTTTAAATTGTGTTTTGGTGAAAAGATTTTATACACATTAACTGTGAAATAATGGATGAAACCAGAAAGCAAATCCAACTATATTTGCATTATGTTTGAAACTGACATATTTCTGATAAAACTGAAGGACTTTGCTTGACTTTCTATCATAAATATACCGGTAATCAAGTTTGGGATTTTTATATGGTCCTAACATTTAATTATAAACAGTTTTTTATATACTCCATATGTTTGTCATCTCTTTTAATCACAATAAAAAAAACAGTTTACAATAACTTCTTAAAGTCAGTCGAATTACAGGTTTTAAAGCACACATGCAAAAAAAGGCATTCTGTCGTGGAAATATTGCTTCTATCTTTCTAAGATTTTCCTATGGAAACGTCAGCTGAGTTCATGTGAAACATGACTCGATGTAACTTAATGGTCCATCAGTGCAAACATTTGAGACCAAAAGAATTAAAAACTAACTTGGTGCATTCCAGAGGAGACGCCACACTGATGCCGTCTTAATGGATATCAAGACTTTGAAGATGATAATATTGAACGATTTATCACTTTGTTCATAAAAAGGTGACATTATTGATGGAACTGACCCGCTGCAACCTCCACCTCTGCTTTCCACATGCCGAGTCAGGGACCAGCAGAAGCTGCTTAGTTAACATCAGCAGGATGGTGAACATCATCAGTAATTTGGTGAAGGTGTTAATGATACAATGATGATGTAAACAAAACACCCTTTTAAAGCCAACAGTTTAAAATAATGTTTTGGAGGTTTTTTTTTTTACTTTACTTTGGATTTCATGTTTGCTGATTCTTATGCTTTGATTTATAAATTTCATGTAGTTCTCTGTAATCCACATTTTATTATCCTCAATAAACCAAATAAAGTGATTTATATGTTCAAAAATATATTTCCTGCTTTTCTGTTTGCAACACCATCTCAACATAAATGCCTAAAATAATCACTTAGTCTTGAAAGCCAATATGTTGATACTTCAGCATGTTCTCATACAAAATTAATCTTCTGACACTTGCTTTAAAAATCTGTGGTTTTAGTTTGTTTTCTGTCTGCGGAGCGACATTTCTCTCCTTCTGATCCCACAGCTGCTCAATCAGGAAGTGCTTGTGTGCTGTCACACTCACGCATTGTTGCTTTCTTTCACACAAGCACGCGCACACACACACACACACACACACACACACACACACACACACACACACACACACACACACACACACACACACACACACCCACACCCACACCCACACCCACACATCAATTGGCAGATTGTCCCAATGACGCGGCTTCCACACTCACACTTTCTGTCTCCTGCTGTTTATCAGACACCCGAAGTGTTCTTCGTCAAACTTCTCGACCTGAGGCGGCGATCACAGCAGAACCGCCTGACGCTGTGTCCCTGGTAACAATAACTTACCAATATTGCCCATAAATAATCTGCTTTCAGCTTGGAGGATCTGGCTGAGAGCCTGCGTTCTCCGCTATACCTGAGTGGGTTACTTGCTACATCGGCAGCTGCTGCTGGTCAGTCGATTCGGTTGCCACAGATTGTGAAGCGGTCGATCTCCAGCAGGTCTTTATTGGGAGCTCTGTGGTTCATATCCGAGGCTTCGTCTGCCTCCTCTTTCTGTAAAGGTGAGGCTGTTGGTGGTTCAGAGTCAGATTGGGGTTCTGAGATCGAAGGACAGCTCTCTGCTGTTGCAGATGAGGCGTCAATGGGTGGAGGGAGAAACAAGTCAGGCCGGGGAGCCGGCTGGGTGGTCACAGAGGATGAAGAGGAGATTGGAGAGCTGCAAGGTGTGACAGGAATCTGATCCATGCTGGATTCACCTTAACGACAAAGGATGAAGAGTAAAAACTCTTTTTCTCTGAAAATGTATTTGTAACTATTTTCTGGACAGTTGTCTAGAAAGACTTAAATATTCCAATAATAATTTATTATTACTTATATTATAACTTAAAATGCTGTTATGCTTGTCAAGCTAAATCAGCTTTGCTCAGAGTAAAAACAAAAAGGCAGTGGACATAGTTCATCTGACAACTTTGTGCAGGGTTCTTGTTGCCAGGCAACCATGGCAGACTACAGCAAGTCAATGCAATCTGTCAAGTTGTTTGCAAAAAGGCAAATTATTGCCATTTTTGGCATCTTTGTCTACTGATTACACAAAGAAGTTGATATATTAATAAACCCTGCATGCTGCAGCTGACTGACTAATAATGACCAAACATTCAGCTATAAAACCTGGCATCTCTCTTCCTGAAGATGCAAACTACAGCTAAAAGCTAAGAGAGATTGAGTGGTTTCACTTGCAAACAAATACAAAATCTATTTTATCTTTATATGTTTGCTTCCTTTCTTTTTGGGGAACCACGGTAAGGTGATTTTTATATATATATATTAATATTTCTATCCCTCCTCCTCTGTGAAAGTGAGAAAAGATCAATAAGAAACCGGCTTAGAAAATAAAAAGCAGTTATTGCCACAACTTGGCCGACCTCCACCAAGATGGCTGATTAAAATGATTCTAGTTTATCCAGAAAAGAATAAATTAAAGGACAGCACAGATCTCATTATGAAATATTATGTTTTGTTGAAAGGAAACAGTGTGAACTATTTCAGTCTGAGAGTACAAGGAGTAGTATCATGAGAAAAAATTATTCTGAGAATAAACAGAATAAGTCATATTTGAAAGAATTGTACAAAACTCGTAATTAAGAGGGTTGGCAGGAGAGACAACTGCTTCACTTCAGGATGTCTCTGTTGCCAGCAGCACATATAAATAACTATTTTGATAAATAGAACTGCAATCCACTAACCAAATGATTTTGTTTGTCAGAGAAAAGTATTTGCATTGTTTTAAAAACAAAAATAAGATGTTTAGTCTGCATATAAATACCAGCTGTTTTTATAAATACCTTTGCTGGTCCATCAGCTATAACAAACATTTTTCCCAACAGTTAAAACTTACAAAATAAATAATACATGCCAATCTTTTTCTCTTTTACACAAAAGTTGACTCAAAGTTTTTAATAAACATTCAGTTATTAGTGTCACAGTTCTAATGAACTTAAATCGTTTGAATTTTATGTCAAAGGACAGAAAAAAGTGATCAGACTTTTCAATTAAAAAAATAATTGGACATTTTTACAAAATTGAGGCAATACTTTTTTTAGTAACAAGTAAAATCCACTGCACAAGATAAACCTCATGATGTGTTTTTGTCCATATTTACAACTTAAGACTTCAATAACTTTTTTGAGCGATCCCATTATCTTCTCTAAAGATGTGCACTTTAATAAAAATAAAAACTTTTTTTTAAAGTGTAGCTTTTAGCTGTAGTTTATTAAGACTTGATGTGATCAGCTTTGTTTACCTGACGTTTTAGTGCATCTACGTGGGTCAGATTTGCTGGGACTCTTAGCAGAGAAGGACGGAGCGGTCGGTGGCCTCTCAAACAGTTTGTCCTCCATGTTGGCTCGCTTGACATAAACACAAGACTTCCCCAGTAGCACGATACTGTTCAAAACTTTCAGAGAAACCATCCTACAAGTAGAGCAGCAACAAAGGAAACAATATTAGAATATTTAACACTTTATTGGCATGAAGAAATAAATTGTTAAAAATGTAATAAAGGATAAAATAAGCAATAACTAGGGGCTAATTTTGAGTTTCCTTGAAGTTGAACTAAAGCAGGTTTTGGAATTTAGATTTAAAAAATTTTTTTTCCATAAATGGTGACATTTACTAAACTTGTAGAACTCTTTCACAGAGTGAGGAGACCAGAACACCGCAGTTATTAATTTATTTTAATTAGAAACAGAGTTTTCTGACTAAATCCAGCAAAACTCGAATGCACTAAAAGTTACAGAAGCATCTTAACACATTAAAATCAGATCAAAATGTTTGTGTCAGTAATTAAGTTTAAAATATGAACTTTTTAAAATTTTAGAAGTTAATTATTTGGAATATTACTTAACATTCTGCAGCTTTAAAGGTACCTCTGCTTAAAAACACCTTATTCTGTTAATTAGGTCATTAGCAGAAGTTTGTATAATTTGGTTGCTTGCTGAAGAGAAAACTGACCCCTTTGATGTGGGTGTTGGACCAGGAACCAAACAAAAGGTTTCAGTGCTCAAGGTTGAAACCCCTAATTCAGAGGATTGTGAGTCAACGACCATTGAGAAGCTTAATAGAGAGTCAAAATGTGGACTTCGGTTCAGGTCAGTGCTTAAAGAGTCGCCTGCTTCAAATATTCTTTAAAAAAAATAGAATAAATAAATAAAATGGTATTATGTGATATTTCTATTGTCTGAGAAACAACTTTTTGGATTTTCATCAGCTGTAACCAAATTTAATCAAAAATAAGCAGAATGTAAGTCTACATAATGCTAGTTAATTTATTTAATAATTTAAATATTCTTTTTTTTTTTTACACAAATCATAATTTGTTGAGATGCATTGGTAATAGTGCTTTCTTAAAATTGAGCCTAACAATTGTAAACAATCACCACCATTCAAGCCTCATCTTTCACACTCGCATGCTGATGTGCAGAATGCTTTTCTTTGCAGAGCTTTGATTTTGACACTGATGAGTGGAAGACGGACACATTTGGGTCTGTGGAGCAACACTTGCTGTGACAGGCCATTTGGAACTGAGATTGTGTCAGCTAAATCTTTGCCAAGGCACAGCGATCTGCTCAAACAAGGGCTATTTTTAAACCAGAGGAAAGGGAAGACCAGAAATGACAACAATGTGTTCTTCTCCCTGAAGTGAATTCTTCAATGGGAAGAGCCCAGTGGGAAATCAGTTACAGTGTTCATGCTTATGTAACCACAGATGTGTCAGTGTGACCTCATCAAGCGCAGAGAGCAAATCAAGAGTCTAATTGCATAAAAAATTTATTTCTTTAGTTTCTGAAGCATTTGTTAAATTTGTCAAAACTTTCATCATAATATTGTGGTTAGTAGCTCTCATTTTGGCAATAGGAATATAATTTGCCATATAAAAGCAGAAGAAAACAAGCAGAGCAAAACTAAAGGCTTACCCGAGATAAAAGAGGAACACACATGTGTATGACAGAGCTCCCTGTACCTTCACAGAACTCATCACCACTCGGATTAGCTGAAAAAACAGCAAAACATTCCAAAATCAGTTTCATCCAAAAACCCCAAAAATCTAAAACCTAGTATTTGGACTGTTACTTTAAATGCGTAATGCAAGATTTGAGTCGGTTTAGGGTAGCAGACTGTTGTCACTCACCAGAACAGCCAGCGGCAGAGGGATGAAGCCCATCCTCCGGGCCACTGAGTCACTATAGTCAGTGTAGGCCTGCACAGTGACAAACAAAGGTTACATCTCTTGACATGAGAATCTGTTAGCTGCATAGGCTTCATGATGTAACAAAATAATTGCAATGAAATAAAAACAAACAAGCAAAAAAATTAAAAATCATACGTTCTTTTGTCGACTGCTAACAAGATCGAAGGCCAGACTGGCTCTGTATTCACTGTACACCTGGAGGACATGCATGTGACCGGTTAGAAACTTTGTTCAATAAGTGATGCGTAAATCCGTTATTTTGCCGCTGGCTTGTTTCTTACATCTGCTGTGATGTCGTTGAACTTTGTGATGAATGCATGTTTAATGATGTCAACAGCAACTTCAGACATGACGACCATAAAGACATCAGGGAACAACATCCACAGGTGGTCTGAGGAAAAAAAAAATCATGTCTGAGCAAATCCATCATTCTGTGTTCATCCATCAATGCAAACAAAAATAATTCTAATGCACAGTTTCCTAAAATATTTGTCCAAGTAGCAATGCACTAAAAGTATGAATGAAAAATGAGAAGTGTGCTGCTTTAAGGTGTTAACATTTCAGTTGACAGTCAACGTCTCACTGGCAGGGAGTTTGTGTTTGAGACAGGCAGGAGGAGATGAGTGTCAGAAAGCTGTCAAACATCAACGCCCGGCTCTTATCTCTGACTTTACTGCCTTGTTGACTGAAGATTCTGGGAAAAAACTCCCCAAAGTACTACAGTTGGTCAGTGGAAAGAGATAGAAAGCAACTGCTCAGCATAACTGTCAAATCTTTGTTCAAGGCAAGCAGCAACATCAGTGCTGGCACAGAAATACTGTCAATATGTTATATTTATGGCAAAAGTGAAATGATGCAGTTTTGTGTTTATTGCATTTTAAATGTGAATAAAAACTTAGTTTATAAGGAAAACAATTAATTACCTGGGTTCCATGAAAACTGCTCCATATTCCTGAGACAGACGATGAGGAGGAGAACATAGCTGGTAAACCGTTCTTTTATATCTGAAAGGTAAAATAAAAACTGCTAATTAAGTATAGTAAAAAATGTGAAATGGGCTAATTAAAACAGTTCACATAAAGTCAGGTGCGTCTTTATCTTTGTTTTGTGTTTAAAGAAACACCTACCTTGTATTTAAATAAGTTTCAGTACATTTTAAAAAGAAGTTTTTTTTTTGTTGCCGTCATGTGTGACAATGAAGCCAAAAATTAACAAATGCACTTTTCTTATTAAGCTTGTTTGGGAAGCCTTTACCTGTCTGTGGTATCCTATCAAACACCTATAGCTGAAAGCAGAGCTGTCCAATGCAACAAATGTATATAACTGTTATGAAAAATTATGTGCAGTGTGGTGATGAAAAACTTACCACTGTTAGACATTTGGAATAAATTGTTCTTCTCAAATTTCTTGAAGACACTTCCCTTGATCTCCACAAACTGTGATTCATAAAGGACACATAATAATCAAATCTATATTGTATAAAAATACAATGTTGTAGCTGCAAGAGTCAAGTTTCAACATCTGCAAGCTGAATATATCAACATACAAATACTTTTAGTGCATTGCTACTTGGACAAATATTGTAGTTAACTGTGTGTTAGAATTGTATTTGTTTGCATTGATGTGTGTGTGGACTGACATTGTTGGACATCATGATGGTAAGCAGAGACTTGTTGTGCGAGTTGAAGGCAACATTCAGAGTGGAGGCTTGGACCATGATGAGGATGGAATGAAGAACTGAGGAAGGAATACTCAGGAAAAACACCTTTTTAAAAATAAATCAAGTTAAATAAAGGCATTGGTTAGGAATAATACTTATAAACTAAACCAGAAACTGCAAAAGTCTATTATTTCAATAATATTTGGAGATTTCTCAGATGCTGAAGTGATAGGCATAAACAAATGTTGTTTAAGTGCAAAGATTTTGATTTTACCTGCCTTTGGTATGCCATATTTGATAATAGATTTCAAATATCTAAAAATATGTATGTTACAGAATACTCATTTACCTAGGGTATGACCATGTGTATCACTGTTCTTTTAAGGAATAAATAAAAGCTTTTGGGTTGAAGATCAAATGGAAGGATACAGACATAAAAGACAGCCATAAAAAAGTGAGGGATAACTCCAATATTGTCTCTTTTGCGTTCTTTGGGTTCAGTGGCCGTCCAGTATAGAGCATCCAGGATGTCTTGACCAAAAGATGAGAAGAGGCGATCTGCAACCTTAAAAAGGACAAAAGGTTGGAAATGAAGTTCATCAGAGCTTTAGAAAGACAGTAAATGTAACCTTAATGATGTTAGATAGTGAACTATTAGATTTTTCTGCTAAATCAGAACCACCTCAATCCAGACACAAGTAACTTTCATATAAAGTGCTTCAGAGCATCAAATATGAAAGAACTACAGTCTGCCTGTGATGCTTGCTTTCCACACAAGGATGAAAGGTTTATTTTATGGGTGCAAAGAGTTTGCTCACATTGCTAAACATAGCTTGTCAATTTATTCACCCATGAATCGTAAACTTTTATTAGATGTCGTACTACTGAAAGGGTATGCGAGTCTGAAGAGAATTTAAGAATCACAAGCCTCAATTATTTAATATTTAATCTCTGAACCTCAAAAAACATTATTGTGTTTGCCAAGAATTAAATACTAGATGTACTCAGAAATCTGAGTCTATTTATCAAAATCAAATGGTTTTCAGCTCGATCCCAGAGTCACAAAATCTAATCTGCTTTTGATCAGTGAACTGATCAAGCCTCTGCTAAGGGAGAAGGAGTGTAGCTGAGAACTTTAAGTATTAGATGTAAAAAGCTATTTGAAAGAAAACTACTTTTTATTATTGGGGAAAACTGTTCAATATGTCAGCTTTGAAGCACACTTTTCCTTGTAAAAAAATAAATTTTTTGAAATACTACAAATTTATTTAAAATGACTCTGCAAATAAATAGTTTATTTTCTTCCTTATGGATTCCATGCAATGGAATGGACTTTAAGAGTTATAAATAAAACAACAGTGTATCCTAAGGCATCTCTGATTTTGTTTTTCGTGTTTGCAGTGTAAAGTACCTCCAACATGTTGTAGATGATGTAGAGCTTGATGACGGACTGTCCTCTGATCAGGTGATACATCATGGAGTAATCCACGTAGTGCATCATGGAGAAGCACAGCACTAGGATCAGCCCCTTCAGCATATCACAAACCTGCGCTGGCTGCAGCAGTCGTGACCCGCTGTTCACACAGACACAGGAACCCAATCAGAAAACTCAGCATCTATTTCCCGTACAGACACACAGACTTGTGTTATTTAATGCCCTAATGCATGCTGAGCTGCAAGCTGTTCTGTATCTCCCAAAATCAAACATGCATGAGTAAATATGTTCACACCGCGACGTAATGCGTGCTGACAAACGCACACGTGAACTAAGTATTAACATGAAGACATTTCCAACCTTTTGAAGAATCATGCACACATTCGTCTACTCCACTCTGACGCTTTACTGTAAGGCTAAGACAGCAAAACAAAAAGGAACAGACTACAGATGTCTCCCTGCCTCACCTATTACTGCAGGTTACTCAGGCTGAATGATCTCTGATTAGATTCTCACAAGGTGATACTGAGATACAACACGAGTAATATTTTCAGTTCTGTTCAAAATGAGATAAAACACCAGGAGCAACAACAGATGGTATCAATAAAAGTACAATCTGAAATATTAAAGATATTATCTCCTTCATATAACATTTATCTTGGAAGCCAGCTGTCCTTTTAATATGGTTGTTTTTGAAATGTGCCTTTCTGTTTAAAGTACATGTATAAAAAATAAATCCAGACTGTTCTTATGTACCAAACAGACCAACAGGACCAGTGGCAGAGCTTCTCCCTTGATTAATATGTTTCACTTATGATATAAAATTGGATTCAACATTTTGGACAGAAATGACTAAAACAGAAAACAAACAGGCATCAGCTGTCATATCCAACAGTGACGTTGGCACGTCTTTTCAGGGTAATAAAGTGAGTCAAACATGCAGCTTATTTTATTAATATCTGTAGTCGGCAGAGGCAGCTCTGGAGTATGTTACGAGAAGAGCTGACAAATCCATGGGAGCGGTTATTTAGTTACAGAGACAGGGGCGACTGGGAAGAACTGGAGATTAATTTGAACACTTTCTGCACATTCTCCATGTCAGCTCTGTTTCGTCTATTTGCATGCAAAACCACTGTAGAGAAATTATTTCTTTCCCTTCTAAGGACATGAACTTATTGGCAAAGACCAGCTTGTTTAAATTATTCATTTATCACTGTGAAGTGGGAATATACCTTGAAAATGCTAAGGGAGCCTAATCAGCCTGCTACTATTTAGTCAATTGAGCTCTTCTGAAAGCTAAAACCAGTTACTAGTCCTGCATGATTTTTTTTTCTTTTCCAAATCACAAAAGGCCCAATTTTTAAACTCTCAATAACAAGGTGGAATGTTAGGAAGTATTCTGTCATTGATGCTTCCACAGACTTTAACAATACGGTAATACGGTTGGTAATAGAGAAGCTAAATCATTGCACCTCTGAACTGACACCAGACTGACAACAGCCTAATCATGAGCACCACTGATTCTCAGTCAAAGCACAGCTGAGGAAGCAGTTGAACATCTGGGCTGTTTTCAATATACCATTAGAGGGTAATTATCCTCACAGTGAACTTAGATTGTAGCTCAAAATGTTACCCCATATCAAATTGCTTCATATTGCATGTGCATGAATTCTGCAAAAATGGGGAAGACATTGGTCATGGACTTCTGGTGCTATACCACCACCTAGTGTTCAACATTGCATTGCATTATATATTGCAGTTTTAGTATAGTTTTAGTATCCCTGAGAAGGCTCTTGATTCTCAGCACACAGGCTTGAAATTGCTGCAGCCTTTAAAGTTACCTGCTTATGGGTGCATCATCTACATTCTGTAAGCACATCTTCACAAACCAAATATTTTTACGAGAGCAGAGGGCAGCATTACAAGCAAGCAGGACTGAGTATCGTTCCCTCCGCATGAGGATGTAAAAGAAAGCTTAACATAAAGGGCATAATAAAAAATGAAAGATTTTGTTAAAGAAGCTTAATTTTGAGTATCAAACAGTCTGTCTGTTGCTGTACAGTAGTTCAAGATAATTTAACAGTGGAGGTAAATAATTACTTTGTTTTTCTCCCTCATAAGTACTGGAAAATGAAGCTACAAACAACACAAACTGCAGTGCAGCAGTAGGTTTACCACGAACACTTAACACAGGATGAAAATGGCCAAACATGCTCAGCAGAACTTTACCAGAGGAGACAAAGTTAAACTAACTTGAAGACCAGAACATGGAGTGTAGTGCTCGGCTGTATCTTTATAAACATCATGGAGATGAGATGAGACTGATGACTGGAAACATGGGCTTGTTCGGGACAGGACTAACTTTTACTGAAGCTATGATGGGCTTGTGGGAGCATACCTGCTTCTTTTGCAGTAGGGGCATGTGCGTGCCCTGCAGGGGAAGGACAGTAAGGTGAGAGATAGGCAGAACAGGGGGCAGAATATGACACGGGGCCTCTTGTGAGAGTAAGGGTACATTTATCCATAACTTTGTGACATAGCTGAACTGTTAACAATTGTTCCGCTCATCTAACTGCTCTGCTCTAATAGTCTGCTCTACAGACTATGAGAGTGTTTGAAAGAAGACATTTTTCCTTAGTGGGTTTTGGCCTTTTCTGGAAAAATTATCTTTTCAAAGTGTGGCCCTATGCAAAACTAATATAATCATTCCTAATATTTTCTTTGCAAGTCTTACAACTTATATTCTTACAAATTAATAATAGCAACAGACATAATTGCCAGTCTAAAAATTAAGAGAATTATCTGACCAATTTGTATTTACCATTTATGCTTGCATAAAAGTAAGTGGACATCCCTTTAATTTGACTGTTTCTGAAATACAGTACATGTTATAATGTTTTAGACTTTCACATATGTTAGTTGACACATTTGCGTGAATGGGTGAATGCAGTGTAAAGTGCTTCATTCTCTCGACTTGATAAAGATACAAGTTCAGGCCATTTATCATTTACCATGTCATTAGATGAATAAAACTCTATATAAAAGCACGACTTAAGTTTGTAAAGATGCGTCTGAGCAAAACATCTGGACCATAACCCTAATACAAAGGTAATCAGAGAATCATAAAACTGTGGCTACAAAAGCTGGTTTAATAGAATATAAATTTTAGATTGCTTAAGTATCTAAAATGTTAAATGCTTTTTTCTTTAAACTATGTGTGATAGATCATGTGTTGATTTTTATCTGACATTGGATTGATCCAATTTGAACTTATGAGATATTTGGTATGTCCAGATACAACACCTGCAAATGCATTTGCAGTTTAACCATTTCTCAAGAAGTATGAAAATTTATTTGAATCCTTCTGACATGTTATTACATGAAGAAACATAGGAATAGATCACATGCTCCTGGAAGTGTCTCCTAACACAAACTCCTCAACATAATGACCCAATGAGAAGATTCCGGTTCTGGTTTTCACAAAACCAAGACAAATACAAAAAATTAAACATAATACACGCATTTGTGCAGAAATACAATTTGGTCTTATTTCTGTTTTCAGTTATTGCATAATGTATGCTTTCCAATCTTACCTGTAGCCACAGCATGGCAGGGTGAGGAGGCGAAGCAGAGCCAGCAGCACTCTAAGGGGCAGCAAGGTGAAGATGTACAAGAAGGCATCGGCACACAGGAAGAAGCCAAAGATCATCAGCTAGAATCAACAAACAACACCCCCTCGTCAGACAACAGCTGTCAGTGTGAATGTAAAACCTCCACTGTGATCATTAAATGTGTGTGAGCTGAAAAGTAACAATTCAAAAATCTATATTCTTATAATCCATAAATTTAATAAAGATCAGATTATTTAGCGGCAAATCAAAAGTACTATCAAAATGTTTCACAGTACGTGTTATTCTAAGTCACATATAATTGCATTGAATGAAATTTAGTTGTTAAAAATATTGTTACACAGATTTCTGTTTAAACGTAATGCTGCATGGCATGATTCAGTTGATTTAGTTAACTCAGCCTATAGCTAGTGGTTGATATTAAAATAACAAACATTATATTAATTTATATTGTACATTATAAAACAACTACAGAAATATCACCAATGCGCATTTTTAATTATTATAGCTATTAGTAATAAGCAATACTTGAATTAATTAAGCAGAATCAAAAATTATTTTAAGATTGTGCAAGGACAACTATCACATATTTGGTTTATTCACAAGAGATTGATATAGTTTCCCCATCATCCAGTACACTGACATACACACTGAACATTTGTTGGGTTGTCACATGGATCAGCCGTAACTCAGTTTACTGGAGCTTCAGGCTGCTCATAACATAATCATTTCTGTTTGGCTGGAGAAACAAGCAGCTAGATGAATCTGGCCAAAGAGAAACAAGGGGAATAGTTCAGGACCGTTACTGCACACTACCTTCTCCAGCTCCTTGGGAATACGCATGCATGTATATACCCTCTCCCTGCGCTCTGTGTACTTTGCTTCATTGTGTTCCAGGAAGTAGCCTCTGGTGAGTTCTGCACAAATGAAGCGCGTCAATGATGGATCTGGAACAACAAGAGGGCCACAGTGTTACCACAAAGCCATTGTCTGTGACAATTGCAGCTGTCAGCAAAATCAGATTTCAATTCCATAAATGCTACTGGAAAAAGCCATGAAAACTGATTAATTTTTCAATTTTTCAATGCAAAACATCAAATATACTGAATACTTATTATAACAAAAGTATTCTCCTGGCAAGTACAATTGTTTTAAAACTTCATGATGTTTTGTGATTAAATTGATTAATAATAATCAATTAAATGATAAATTAAAATGAAGGATTATGTTGAAGTTTAAAAATAAAAAGGATTTCACTCTAAATACAAGCAAACTAAATGTATTTTTAAACAGCAGCCACAAAGAATACTTCAAGCATGTTTTGAAACAATGATGAGTTTGTTGGGCTTAATGTCCACATAATCATTTTACATCATTTTCTAAGGATGTCTATCATAACCTTATGCCATAACTTCAACAGTAGCTGTTTTTGTGCAACTAGGCACATTATGTAACCCAGCATGACTTCGTACTTCATACGGAGTCATGATTGTTTAACTGTGTTGAGATGATATCAGATATACTTGCTATCAGTTGATCCCTGTATAATTCACATCAACATACCACAACTTAAAGGTGAACTTAAGGTTTATATGTTTGATTGATTTGTTTTCTTTTTACACCTGAAAAGTATTTAATTTGATTCATTTAGTATTTATGTTTTTGTCTAAGAGCCTCAAATCTAAAAATTATAAAAATGCAACTGTATTTTTTTCTAATTAGTATTTATTTTTTGTAACTTAACCTTGAAGTTACAAGGTCTGTTCATTAAAAATTTCAACAGAAATTTGATATAAATTTGATTTATTTCCCTCAATATCACTTTGAAACAATGCTCAAGGTGGATTTCTGCCCAAATAAATAAATGGATATTCTTCTAAAGTGAATTTTGGGTCAACGGGTGCGTTACAAACATTTAAAGTGACAAAAATAGTCATGTGTAAAATACTTATTTTATCTACTCTGACTATAATGTGACACTCAAGCAAAACATGAGTTACCTAGTATAAAGCTATGTGGCTGTAATTTAAAGTACAGTTATTTACTTTGAAGTACTAACAGACTTCAAAGTAAATAATGTAATGTAATAATATTTCATTTGAGTCCTGTAATGTCTTGATAATAGTTTAAAAGAGATCAGAAATATTTATTCAGGACTTCATAACTCCTTTAGAAAATCTATATTCAAATCAGGTATGGACCTAATTTACACATGTCGACAGTAGGTGACAAAGAACTCTGAATAAATTAAACTTTAAAAAAAGCCAACTGACTTCAGGGAAAAACCACTGTTGAGACAACATGTGATTTACTGTTTAACAAATAATACATTTCAAATGGCATCTTGGTATTTTGTTAAGTGGTTGAGGGAAAAGTGAACACATTGCATAAGTAAAACTTTACAAACAGGTGAGCAGATGATTGTCGTCTAATATCGAATATTGTTAAGTACAGTTTCAAATTTATAAATTAGAACATCTTTCATTTAAGTAACTCAATGAAAAATATTCACTGACCTCAAAAAAGTTTAACTTATACTATGTAGATCAAAGACAAACAGCTACATATTTCAAGCATCTGTTTAGTTTATAGTTTAAAACTAATAAATAACCTATATTTATTTTTTACAATTAAAATGAATTTAAAAAGTCTTTAGATATGGTAAAAACAAACAAAAAAGATGCTGTAGATCCTTCTGCAGGACCAACAGCACATGGCCTGGCTCCCCAAATCATCACAGAATCTGGGAACTTCAGACTGGACCTCTAGGTCATTGAATTTGGTCCCCTGGCTCTTTTCTTTCAGACCAGGTTTTAAATCAGTTGCAGTCCACACACTGTATATCTCCCTCACACTTTTTGTTTTGACCTCTTAATATACTTGGATAAAGTACACTAAACAGTAAGCTTCCATAGCAACAACCTTTTGTTATATATTGGTAGATATTTATTTTACACTAACAACAGAGCAAATTCACAGCACAGTGTGGTATGGTAGCCTAAAATACGAAAAAGTAATAAGAAAAAATCTTGTCATATACAACAGTAATACGAAGCTACATAGGTAGCTTAACCAAATCGCTGAATTTGCTGTTTTAAGCTAACTGGCAATTTATTACTAGCTTCTTGATTAAGCTAGCACTGTATATAAACAAACTCAGCAGCTGTCATCAAGCTGACTCATTTAGGCTTTTGCAGCTTTTTTATGCTTAATTCCTCACCGCTACACTATAGACGAAACGTTGTAGTCATTGAGTCACATAAGTGTGAATGGCTAAAAAGGTCAAAACAGACTAAAACAAGCTTTAAGTTGTTTAACGGTTGTATCTGTGGGTTCCCAGCTGGGTAGACCAAACGGTTACCTGCTGAGATTTCCTGCTGCTCTCTCTTCACGGCACTAATGTCGAAAAATCCCAACGTCTCCGGTAGCTCTGGAGTTATCCCGATTTTTCCCGACCTGTGAAACTCTTCCCAAGGTCTTTTCTGTCTTTTCTTTAGCTCAGTTTCGTTTTCCTTCTCTTTTGACAGCTCGGTCCCCGACACGTCCGCCATCTTTACTCTGGTCAACGCATGACGTCATCGGAGCGGCGTCGGTCTAAGACACGTCAACTCGAAGATCCAATATTTATAACAAAAATATAATAAATTCTAAAAAAAAAAAAAAAAACTATATGTCAAACTTAAAATATTTTTGTGGTTCTGCCAGAACCTTAGACATTTTCTGTTTTCTTTAAAATTCTCTATTAAATATATTTTTTACAAATTCTGAAGCCAGCCACAAGACTTTATTAATTTGCAAATAAAACTATAGCCTACATTCATTTAATTAATAAATGTGTCTAATAGCCTGTGTGCAGAAAAAATGGATGCATTCTTTATGTAAATAAAGAATAATATAGAGTAACTTAAATAAATCAATAAATTTGTATATTACATCTAGTTTGAGTATACCTTTTAGACGAGGGCATCAATTTGATGTTAGAAAGAAAATACATAAATTTCTTTTGCTGTCAGTTCTCAAGCTATTCCACATGGTGGTGCCAAAGTCCTGTCAAATATTTCAAAATTTAAAGTCTACCCAACAACAGCACCGACGCTTCTTCCTACAAAGGACAACGTTTACATATAATGTGTCTTTCCCAGGCTAAGCAGTCTCCTAAGTTACATTGTGCTAAATTATATAAACATCTTATGCACCGCTAAGATGTCACATGCAGATTGATTATATGAAACTGATATATAAATAAATTGAATTAATAAGAGACTTGCATACACAGTGAATACACATAATGCTTATGGTTTAAAAAAAAAAAAAGTTTTATAGAAACATGATTGCATGAGTCACTAAAGAGGGGCTTCAGAGTTTTTAAAGTTAAGGCCTTTCAGTGATTTAGCCTTGAAAATTGCACATCTAAAACTTTAATGCACATATAATTCTGTATTGCATTCTGCTCTTCTTTGTGAATTATGGGTAAAAATATCAGCAGGTCTGTTTTTCAGAATGATCATTAAAGGCAATCAAAAAATAGCAGCAAAAGAGAGAATTTGTTTAGGAAAAAGTCATTCTATGCCATTAGATTGTATGAAGTGTACGCACAATGTGAACAATAATTTATGTTTTGCCAGTGTATAGAAGTGGGAAAACTATGACCTAGAAATAACAACAAAAAACATACTGATGCATATCATGAAGCATTTTTCTTATAAAAGCTCACAATTTTTTCTGCACCTTACAAAGAGAAACATTCCTGATGTTTTTTAAAAAAATATATCATTAATTTTCCATGTGTTCTGGATCTGGGACAGTATTCACTGTTATGTTTTGAACATAACAATGAATAGGTGGTAGTATTAAACACAGTGACTTCTAAAGCCAATTTATAGAGAGCAATTAATCGTACAGGCATATTTTTGAACTGGTAGGAAAATGTAATACCTGTATGGAGCAGATGAAAACTCCATGAAACAGGACCCCAGGCCTGACATCTGAACCCAGGACCTAGTTGCTGCAAGGCAGAATTGCTAACATCTGTTTCATGAAGTAGCAGCTCTCAAGGAATAGTGAGACTGAAAAATGTTACATCCTCAAGCGTGCAAAAATGTTCTCTACCGTTTCAAGGCCTTTTATGAGATGCCAGAGTTTTATTCTCCTTAAATATATATATATATATATATATATATATATATATATATATATATATATATATATATATATATATATATATATATATATAGCTGGATAGCTCAATACATAAGGCATCAGTATATCACCCGAGAGGGCAGGGTTCGAATCCAGTCTGGGTCCTTAGGCAAGACCCTTCAAGCTACTGCCTACCTCATACCATGAGAGATACTAAGTTGCATAACATGCCGGCTCAGACGTCGCCCGGCCAAACAAGGTCTGCGTCAGGTGTTGGGGAACCAGAGCACCTTGATGACAAATGGGCTACTGGAACAAGACAGAAATGGGCGAGAGATGAAAATGTGGATCTGTTGGAATGCTACTACTCAAGTAACCCTAGTGAGAGAGGTTACATGCAAAGACTGGGGAAGGAATGGTTACTTCGACATCCCCAGTCAACACTAAGCGCTAAACAACTAGTAGCTCAGTGTTCCAACATCCGCAAACGCAAACTGCTATCACAACTTGAGATTGACGAGATACAACACAAATGCTACGGCAAAAGGGAGGAACCCGGATGTCAGGACTGTGGGGACTTAACTACAAGTCCCCACCCAGTGAGGGGATACACGGCCCCAATGAGCGAAACAGAGCTGAACGAGACAGCTGCTGACCTGAGAGAGAGAATCATGACCCGAATGACAACCAGGCCTCCCCGGCGCCAATTACAAAGGCTGAGTGAAGTACCATCTGAAAGTCTCATTGAGAATGTGAATGCAGCATTGAGAACGATCCCTACCAACACCATAACAGAAACCAATGAGCTGATCTACAACTCAGCATCAGTGATCCTTGAGATACTTGGCTATAAGAGCAACCATGAGACCCAATACCCACCATGGAAAAGACGGTTAGAGGCTAAAATCAAGGTAACAAGGAGGGAAGTGAGCCAACTGTCAGAGCTCCACAAGGGTGCAATGAAAAGACCAGTACCCAGAAAGTACAGGCAGATGCCCATACCTGAAGCACTCGAGACTGCCAAACAGAGGCTCCAAGCCTTGTCCAGCCGCCTAAAGAGATACACAAGGGAGAATGAATCCAGAAGGATTAACCGGCTCTTCTCCACTCAACCAGCTAAGGTGTACTCTCAATGGCAGGGTAACAATAACAACAGAGCAGACCCACCAAGGCTGGAGACGGAACAATACTGGAAAGGCATATGGGAAAGGGAGGCGTCCCACAACAGCAATGCACAGTGGCTGATCTCTCTACGAGAGGACCACAGCAACCTCCCTGAGCAAGCCGGTAACCATCACTGTGACAGATGTCCAAGAAAGAGTCTCAGGTATGAAAAACTGGACAGCACAGGGCCTGACATGATCCATGCCTACTGGCTAAAGAAACTCACTGCTCTCCATGAGCGAATGGCAGCCCAAATGAACCAGCTGCTACAAAGTGGGACTCACCCTGAATGGTTAACTGAAGGGCGGACAATCCTAATCCAGAAGGATCCATCAAAGGGTCCAGTCCCACCCAACTACCGACCAATAACCTGCCTCTCCACAACCTGGAAGCTCATGTCAGGCATCATAGCGGCCAAGTAAGCAAACACATGGATAAACACATGAGCACGGCACAGAAGGTATCGGTGTAAATAGCAGAGGAGCCAAACACCAACTCCTCGTAGACCGCACAGTTGCCCGAGACTGCAAAACCCGACACACCAACCTGTGCATGGCTTGGATTGATTACAAGAAAGCCTATGACTCAATGCCGCATACTTGGATCATTGAATGCTTAGAGATGTATAACATCAACAGGACTCTGAGAGCCTTCATTGCAAACTCGATGAGGCTGTGGGAAAACCCTTGAAGCCAACTGCAAACCACTTGCACAAGTGTCCATCAAATGTGGCATATACCAAGGAGATGCTCTGTCCCCGCTACTGTTCTGCATAGGCCTGAACCCCCTCAGCCAAGTTATCAACAAGACTGGCTACGGATACAGACTCAAAAATGGGGCCAATATCAGTCACCTACTCTACATGGATGACATCAAGCTGTACGCCAAGTGTGAGCGAGACATCGACTCACTGATCCACACCACCAGGATCTACAGCACTGACATTGGGATGTCATTCGGACTAGAGAATGTGGTCGGCTGGTCACAAAGAGGGGGAAGGTCATCCACACAGAAGGGGTCTCACTCCCAGAAGGAACAATAGCAGACATAGAGGACAGTTACAAGTACCTAGGTATACCACAAGCAAATGGCAACCTCGATGAGGTCACAAGGAAAGGAGCCACAGCTAAATACCTCCAACGAATAAGGCAAGTCCTGAGAAGCCAGCTCAATGGCAAGAACAAAATCCGTGCGATAAACAGCTATGCCCTGCCAGTAATCAGATACCCTGCTGGAATAATTAGCTGGCCAAAGGGAGATAAAAGCCACAGATATTAAGACCAGAAAGCTACTAACAATGCATGGAGGTTCCATCCCAATCCAGCACCCTGAGACTGTACACGAGCCGCAAGGACGGAGGCAGAGGACTAGTGAGTGTGAGAACCACTGTCCAGGACGAAACAACTAAGATCCATAAATACATCAGGGACAAAGCCTCAACAGACAATGTGCTCAGTGAATGTCTCAGAACAGGGAACGGAGGTTGAGGTGCCAGAGATACCATCATGGGAGGACAAACCCCTACATGGGATGTACCACCAGCAAATAACCCAAGTGGCTGATATCAGTAAATCCTACCAATGGCTGGAAAAAGCTGGACTCAAGGACAGCACAAATGCCCTCATCCTGGCAGCCCAGGAACAGGCCCTAAACACCAGAGCAATAGAGGCCCAGATCTACCACACCAGACAAGACCCAAGGTGTAGGTTGTGCAAGGAGGCCCCTGAGACAGTCCAGCACATCACAGCAGGGTGCAAGATACTGGCAGGGAAAGCGTACATGGAGCGACATAACCAAGTGGCAGGCATAGTGTACAGAAAACATCTGTGCAGAATATGGACTGGAAACCCAAGATCAAAGTGGGAAACACCCCCAAAGGTGGTGGAGAACGCCAGAGCTAAGATCCTGTGGGACTTCCAGATCCAGACAGACAAATGGTAATGGCGAACCAACCAGACATTGTCGTAGTGGATAAACATCAGAGGAAAGCCGTTGTGGTAGATGTAGCAATACCAAGTGATTGCAACATCAGGAAAAAGGAGCACGAGAAACTGGAGAAATACCAGGGCCTCAGGGAGGAACTGGAGAGGGCCTGGAAGGTGAAGACCACAGTGGTGCCTGTGGTCATCGGGGCCCTCGGGGCAGTAACCCCCAAACTGGAGCAATGGCTACAACAGATCCCAGGAACAACATCAGACATCTCAGTCCAGAAATGTGCAGTCCTTGGCACAGCCAAGATACTGCGCAGAACCCTCAAGCTCCCAGGCCTCTGGTAGA